CAGTTTGACGATCAGTGGCTGGTCGAGAAGGATTGGGAGTAATTAGAGCGTGGCTGGTTGCTGGTGATGATTACACTGATTTCTGAATGAGTGTGGTATGGATAGAGCTTGGTAGATATGAGACAAGGTGGTGGGTTTTCTGTGTATAACAGGTTTGTTTGGGATAATTACAGAGGGGGACATGTGGCTGGTTTTGTGTTTTCCTCTGCATCTCGGCTTTCATTGTGGTCACTGTGGATAGCGCACGATTTGAGCAATAGTCACATCCAGGTACATAAAATATAGGTAGAGGGCTTGGACCGTTACATGCAGTGATTGCCGGATTATATTCTCAAATATATGTTTTCTTTCTTCGTTCTTTTCCGGCTGACACTTTCTCCCGCCCCCCACCACCCCCGTTCTTACAACAGGTGTAAGATGATATCAGATTCTTGGTGCTTCACATTTTCTCTACATACATCATGTGTTATCCATTAAAGTATCTTCAGGTACATTGATTCAGCAATCAGTCCTAATCACACCTAAAGCAGTCCTGCAGGCTTTCCTCCGAGCGAGCACGACGCAAAGATATCTTCTTGACCGGTCTAGCTGGCTTCATGATAGGCAGATAATCTGCGACCCACTCCCAGGGGGAAACGGCGCGTAGATGCTGTCTTTTCTCTAGAGTCAAACAATATCACGACAAGGAAACTTGGGGTTGGGATGTTGCCAGGTGTTGGTGGTTTGGGAAGGATTACGGAAGGCGGGATCTTCACCTATGGGTGCTTGCATACCTACATGTACCAAGTAGGTCTACATAGTGCCGACAACAATAAGGTACATTTTCGGCGATGCACGAATCAATCAAAGTCGAGTCAAAGGAGTGTTTAGGATAGGGAGGGCGAGAGGATGCACACTGCTGATTATTCCGTTGTTAATTTGACTTGGTTTGGAACTTAAACCTCTATTTCCTCCTAATTCCATGGAGACCGGACACAAGGAAAATTCCTGACCGGGGGTCGCCAAGCAACACACAACATTAAGTGGACTAGTTACGCACACAGCCTGGAAATCCCCTTATACGAAGGCTAGTGACTGAGACCGGCTAAGTTATCGCAGTCAGACGTCTAAACACCTGCAGATCTATACGGCTCGCTTAATTGATACGAGCTGTTGCAACGGCTGCCATTGGCTCTGCCACCTCTCGGCTGCACTGACGTCGCACCGGACCGATACGGGTTGAATCGTGTCTCCGTCGTCAGCAGACACAAGCATTCGATGCCGAGACAGCCATCGGAGCCAAGAACCGGGGAAAAGGTCTCGTTACCACCTGAACAAACTCCACTATATATACCCGACTTCATACTCTGTCAAGAATATTTGATAATCTCATCAGTAAAGCTACCATCTCAATACGACAGGACCATTGATTCACATCAAGCCCTGACTACACCACACTGCAGCCACGATGGCCACTTTTCGGCTCCTCCAGCTTTCCCTCTCCGCCCTGGGCGTGATGACTTCTCTCTACGCCCCCACGACCAGCGCACAGTCCTGGTACAGCGATAGCACAACGTATGCTGAGAGCATGACGTGCACGACCCGGTCCGCCAGCACGGGAGTCACGCCACTCCCGACCGACTATGCGCGTTTCTCGGAGACTTCCTACTTCAGCGAGCCCGTCGTGACAGACGACACGACCGTCTACGTCACGGCAAACACCACCACCGCGTACCCGGTAACTTCGTGGTCCTACGTCACACTGCGGCCCACCATCACGCTGGACAAGACAACCACGACAAAATACCTGACGGCAACACCCACCATCGCCACTCTCACCTCCACCACCGTCGTGTGCACCAACGGCGTCACCCCCACCAGCACGGTGACGGTGTACCGCGGCCACTACTCGGCGATCCCCGGCCAAAACACCACGCTGCCCGCGGCATTCCCGACGGCGGTGGCGTGCACCGTCACCTTCACGGCGCTGATCCACGTGTGGCCGACAGTGCAAGGCAGCGGCACCGTCACCTCGACCGTGACGCCCTCGAGCGCCGGCGCCGTGACCAGCACGACCATCACCGAGACCTGGCCAACAACCGTCTACCGGTCGACAGTCCTCGTCACCTTCGGCAACTACGCCGTCGCGACGTCGGTCGCGACCGTCAGCAAGGCATGCAAGCCCAAACCCACGGTGACGTACGAGGCGCGGTGCGCGCCATCGAACCTGATCGCCGAGATGGACGGCCAGGGGCTGGACGTGGTCACCTTCAACCCGCGCTTCACCTTTGGCGGGTGGGCCGACATGTCGGCTGGCGATCCGAGCAAGTGCTGCCAGCTGTGCGCCGACAACCGGGGGTGCGTGGCGAGCGTGTACTGGGCGCAGAGCAATGCCTGTTTGCTGGGGTACGTGGGCGGCGACGAGCGGTGTCCGGAGGCGTTTACGTACCACGCCCCGTCCTACTGGGAGCCCAGGCTGGCGCAGATCTACCAGGTCGGCAGCGGGTGCGGGACGATTCGGTACGTGCCTGGGGGTTAACTGCCTCGACTGCCTAGTAGGTAATTAGTCCATAACACACTCGGAGTGAGGGCAGTTTGTCTTTGTTGATAGTTGGAAGCAAGTAAATAGTAACTTATAATGCCGGCCTGTGTGTTATTTACATGTTAATGTTTATGTCCATCCAATGATGTCCCCTCTTGCCTTGGATCAAGTCCATGAAAACCCCCAAAAGAGAGAGTATGGCAAACAACCAACCCCACCTATACAAACTGAACCACAAACAAAAACATCCATCCCATATGTAGACCCCTCTTCCCATCCAAAACAAGCCAACGATCCCAAACGCCTCCAACCCGCGGAACAACCCTACCAGGTACCTAACGTACAAACCCCCTAATCCCCCTAATCCCTCCACCTACGACCAAACAGCATCCAAAAACCCCTGCAACACCTCCCCAACGCTCTCCTTATCCAGCATATACACCTCCTCCCCAGGCTGATACTCGACCCCGGCAACACCAGGCTGCAGCCCCAACCAGCACGCGAGCAACAAGCCCTCCACCATCCAGAGCACCCTCTCCCCCTCGTCCGCAAACGGCCAACACCCCTCCCCCTCCCCATCCCCCACGATATGGTCTTGCATCCTTCTATTCCCGCCCACCGCGGCCGCGCGCTCAAGTCGCTCGATCCAGTCCAGGTAGGCGTCAAACCAGTCGAGCGAGTACCGCCTTTCGAGGTCATCCTCGCTTACTACCATCACCGCTGCTAGCCCGTGTCTGTCGTGCCGTGTGGGAGGAGGCGGGGGGTTGCCCGCCCACCCGGGGACGTAGGACATGTACGACGCGGCGGACAGGTCCGGCACGATGCGGTACTTGTACCCCGGCCCAAGGGGGGTGGTGTGTTTCCTTCGCGCTTCCGGGCCCGGGAGAGCCAACAGCCGCGCCACGGCCGCGTGGGACGGGCTGGATGGGGCCGCGCTGGCGAGGAGGATCGCGTCGATGCTGGTCTGCGCGTCGTTGTCGATTGGTGTGGGCGGCGGGTAGAGCGCCGCGCTGGACGGGAAGCTGCTGCTGCTGCCGAAGCGGGGTTTGGTGGTGGTGGTGGTGGTGGTGTCGGGGGTGCGCAGGCTGGCACTGATGGAGCCGCCTGTGCCGAGGACGAGGACGAGTCCGTAGTCGGTTTCGAGGGTCAGGCGGAAGGGGCTGTCGCCGCCTTTGCTTTGCGAGGTGCAGAGGAGGAAGGCGATGTCGGCGGTGGTGAGGGTGCGCATTTTTGGGCAGGCGGGTAGGTGGGAGGGAGGTTGGTGGTGGTTGCAGGTGCGATGGTTGTGGTGTGTTGTTGTGGATGGGAAGGAGTAGACAGCCCAGTAGGTCAGGGGTAATGGGAGGTGGGAGAAGGTGGGATGAATGCACGCACTAGAATAGGGACATATTGCATCAGGGCAGCATGTGGGGTGGGAGAGGGAAGGAAAATGTCTGGTGTTATTCGGGGACAGGGTTCCATGCCTTCTTTCTATTCAATGCCCCCAAATCGATGTTTTCAGGGAGGCAGTGTGGTCCGGGGACATCAAGGGGGCTGTACACTACAAATCGCAAATACGGTCCAATCATGCATGCCCGTACCTCGGTCTTCACACAGTAGCACGCACCGCATGCATGGAGTGAGAAGTCTGTGCCGTTCGCGGTGCATGAGAATTGAGTACCAGGTACCTAGAAATTAACCCAGATAAAAAAGGCAAGACTTGTGAACTCGAGATGGTAATGAAGTCGGAGTTGGTCCAGCCTCCATGATTGACATCAACACAGACGGATTCCATGTTGTCTCGACACCACTAACACAAGTCTGTTGGTTTGCATCCCAAAGGTCGATCCCGCGGGTTGTTGGTTGTTGGCCTGGCTATTGCGGCCCGCACATAGCGTTCAGGAAGGATCTCAGATCTCCAGCTGCCGGCGGGCGGGCGACACATCCTGGAATAGAAGCCGCTGACATCGATCACGCTTGCTTGCTCGATGCGAATATGCGGCACGGGCTCGGCTATTTGTGGACCCTGCCTGCCAAGAACAGCCCTCTCCTCACCTCTGCCGAAACAAACGACAGGAATGGAAGGCGCTGGGGAGGGCTTTAGGCGCCCACCTACTGGCACTTAATATAGCGTGGTGAATGGCACCGAAGACCTGGCCATCACATCACGGTTGCACAGGCGCCTCCGGGTTGGTCGGTGATATCTGCAACTGCTTATGACGTGCATGCATGCCCTAAGATTCCGAAGGTGTCCTTGATCATCAATTTTTTGTAGTCTGGTTCTGCTAGGGTGAGGGAGAGTGCCCGAGGCCAGGGACTGAGGTGCAAAGTTTTGTGTGATGATTGTATTAAATAGAACGAGTGAAAGAAACGCGTTCAATCCCTAACCTCTCTTTCAAAATCACCGGTCGTATGATTAAAGATGTAAATAAAGTAAATGGTAGGCGATTGACGCTGGGCTGCAAAGCAGGTGCACTGTGGGGGGAAAGGCCAAAAAGAAGTGCCCGTGCGCGGAATCGAACCGACATCTTGACCGTGCAAATTCAATGAGTCGCGACAACGTCTAGAATATGTCTCGAAACATTCATCTTGAGGCCACGTGCTAACCATTGCATCAGCGAGCATTCGCAAGTCCCAGTAAACTTGCCCATATACCCAAGGCCGCTGCGGTGCACGCACGCCATTCCACCACCTCGGTCGTCCTTTCCCAACGTGCCAACTCTAGTGTACCAGCTGCCTCATTCCCTCATCCCGCGACCGACCGTTCTTTCCTGTTTGGAAAGTTGCAGCTGCCGGTGCTCGACTTCGTGCCCAAATGGCCAACCCATTCCAATAAATGCTTGCGCTCTCCAAATCCCGAGCTCGTTTCCGTTTCCCCATTCATCTCTCTCGTTTTTCTCCACGCCCCCCAGCAACCACCAAGCCTTCATCGCTTTCACGCATCATCATTCGCCAAAATGCTGTCCCCAAAGCACCACGTCGCCTACTGGCTAGTCTCAGCCGCCGCAGTTATCGTATACCACTTCACATTGCAACACATAACCCCCGAAACATTCTGCCTGCCCCTGGCCTGGTCGCTGATCGAGAAGCTCAAGCTCGTCTGGTCCCGCCCACCCGCAGTGGCAAGAATGAGGCGGGCGGAAGGGCGGAGACATACACCCATGATACCAAGCCTCGAAACATCCTGGCTGCTCCTGGCCTGGTCGCTGTACTGGTACGGCCCACCTGAAGAGGCAAGACAGCAGCGGGCGGAACGGCCGAAATATACATTCCTGACAGAACGCTATCTCTACACGACAGCCTTTCTCCTCGTGTCCATCGGCGCACCGATTACAGCCTAGTGCCAAAGTATCGACGATTCCGACGACTTCAAGTTCACCACGGACGCTGAGCGAGACCAGACCATCATGCTGCCGGCACGCATCATACACCTGCTCGTGGGCCACTGCCTTTTGGGCATTTTCGAGCCCATCACGCACAATGTTCGTCCTCCACTTCTTCGCGCGCATTGAAACCCACCTAACAAACTATTCAACCCATGGATTAGAGATCGGACGTTAGATTTTTATACGCCACCACTGTTCCCGATATCATCATCGCCTGCCTCGTCGGCTACCACCGCACTGAAATCGATCTAACCCGAGGCCTCTACCCATGTGTTTCATGATTATTGTGATCACTTCTCTGCGTGACGCCGCCGCAGAGAGTCCCCTGGGCCTGCCGTTCACCCTGATCGAACGTCGGATACTGCCCTCCAATCCACTCATGCTCCCTCTCACCATCCCGCTGGTGCTGTGTCCAGTCTTCGACTTGGCCGAGACGGTGAGTGATACGGGCCTGCCCTCCCATCCACGAACTTGGGCCCTAGCCCTCTAATGGAAGAGATTAACTCACCAACCCATGATTCTCGCAAGATGTTCTTCATCCTTCATAGGCCCGTGTTCCCCAACTTGGTCTCCACTCCCTGGCCATTGGCTCGGCGGGCCAAGGACTGGACCGTCGCCAAGGTCCCCATATTCATCATGGTTCACAGCGTTGCAGTACTGACCTTCTTGTACTGGTCCTATGTCGTACTGGTCAATGTCGTAGAGGGGCTTCTACCGCCACGGAGACCAAACCCCTTCGCCATGGATGATAAACAGCAGGACCTCGGACGACAACAGGTACGGCGTTCCCGTTATTTGAAAGAAAATCAGCGATCCCGATATTCACAAGAAGCGAGATATACATATCAAACCACCCTTTGTTCTTTCTGGCTTTGTACCACAAAACTTGTTCTGTATTAATCACCAAGTAGCGTCAATCTCTAATTACAAACACTGCGAATAGTAGTCATTCTGCGCCTTGCAGCTCGACCCCGCCACACACGCCGCGCACCCTGTGAACCCCTTACCGCCGCACTGCGCCCACTTAGCCGCCTGACACACAGTCCCAGTCCCAGTCCCCGTCGTCGGCGTCGCTGCTGGCACTGGTTCCCCGTGGCAATGGACTGGGTCTTGAGCTGCGCGCACGCGATGTCGCAGTTGGCGTCCATGGCGCGCTGCAGCGCGTCGCCCTTCCACCCGAACACGTAGTCGCCGTGCGTGCCGTAGCCCGTGCAGTCGCCGTAGGCCCAGACGAAGGGCTGCGAGCCGTCCTCGGGCCAGAGCGCCTTGTCGTTGAACTTGCGCGTGTCGAAGATGGTTTCGTAGAAGAGCTGCGGGATCTTGACCGGGTGCGTGGATGGGCAGGGACCGCCGGATTCAAAGGTGCCGCTGCTCGGGTAGGCTACGTGGCTGGTGTGGTCCGGGGGGTCAAGGGTTTTGCCGTCCCAGCAGCTGTTGAGTGAAAGATTTTAGTGATGGGTTTGGACCGGTTGGGTTGGGTTGGGTTGCGCTGGGGTAGTATCTTACGTTGGAAAGCGGACGTTGGCCATGATACCCGCCGGGCACGCCTGCTTGGGCATGTCGGTTGTCTCGGGCGACCTGGTGCTCAGGTCTTGCAGACAGATAAAGGTGAGCTGCCTGTTCTTGGCCGCCTCGGCTGCGGTGCGGTACATGGGGTTGCCGACCACCATGCGGAAGCCCCGCTGGAAGGCCGTGACTTTCCCACCGTTATACGAGGGCGTGTAGTAAACCGTCATGCCGCCGTTGCTTGCGCCGCCGAACCCGACGTTGGGGATCTGGGGCATGCGAATCACGCTGCCGTTTCTCGCGCGGAAGTAAAGCGCCGCAGTCCAGTAGTTGGAAAAGTCCTCGGCAAAGGTGCATGTCGTGCAGGTGGCCTCGCTGGCAATGTCGTTTCTTGTCGGGTCCATGGTGGTGTTGAACATGTTGCCTCCCACGATTTGGTGGACGTGTGGGGACTGGGAGAGCCCGGGGAAGACGAGCCTGCCAGTGGTAAGATACATTTGTTAGATGCCATCTCTGTAGATGGGTCTGGTGTTGAGTGGTGAACTCACGGATCCAGACGCTCAACAACCAGCTGCGAGCAGGAGAACCTCAACAAGGCTTCCACAACCGGTGCAGCTAGTGCAACAACAGCGGCAAGGAGGCATCGATACATGATGGCCATTGCGTTGAAGCCGTTGTCGTAGTTTCTAACACAGTGAAAGAACAAAAACAAAAAAGTGACTGTCCGATCCTCAGTCTTGAAGCCTGACAAACAACAAACAAACAAGCACAAAACCAATCCAATCCGCCACAGCAGCGCCGGAGCAAGCCATATTTATATACAACCCTCAGTCCCCAAAACCACAAACCCCAACCCCATGACAGACCGTGCGTGAAATTCAACTTTAGACACCCCCCTTTCATCTCATCCTCCGCGAAACTTCTCCTCCCTGTGCACGAAAACGGAACCAAAAAAGTCGGGCAACCCAACCCAAACCAAACCAAACAAAACGAAACCTCGTGCCATGCCATGCCATGCCACCATGCCTAGCGTACCAAAGTCAACAGCACCCCTGTCCCCAACTCCCGGCATGCCAATCCCACCTCGCTGTGGGGGAGGTGCCGTCCGGCTAAAGCCCAGCGTCGCCTCAACGACAATTTAGCCAACATTCGCTGCGCGTGCGTCGAGCGAGGCTCCGAGAAACTGGCACTCCTTTCAGGCAAGGGCCGCTGCCCGTGCACGTCAGAACTCTATCGTGTGGCTTCGAAGAAGACGTCTAGAAGGTTTTCTTTTTTGGTTGGTTGCATTCGTTGTGGTCATGCTCCGCACCCAAGAACCTGGAATCTGGGGATTCCGTTTTGGTTTATATTAATTAGTCCTTGCCTTGACCGCACCGCGTTACATCCTAACCAGTGCGGCAAACAACCCGGGAATATACATTACGTAGTTCCTAGTCTCCCCTTTTCTCTCTTCATGATGCCCCATGTTCAGCAGACTAATACCAATCCGTTGACCCCAGAGTTTTAAACCCGGCCTCAACCTGACTCCATCCAACCCCAAGCCCGCTAACCCGGTTTCTCGTTTTCCTTTTTTCTTCCGGAAGACTTCTAGCTCAGATCCTACCTTCCCATCCACGCTCGGGGCTTTCCTGCCGCTTTCTGGCTCTAACATAGGTACCTGGGCTCCGACGTGGGATCCCAGATAAAGTGCAAACTCCACAGTCCTCGGCCCGACGCCATGATCGAATGTCCCGAGTTGGACACCGATTCCCTGTTTACGCCTCACCTGGTTACAACGCGGATGAGCAGACATCGTACGACAGGAACAAGAGCTTGGCGAAGGAGGCGAACAACACAACCAAGTAATGGGTATTGACCGTCGCGGTTGACATGAGAACAGGTGTCGAGGTCGCCAAGGATTACCACCTGACAATGATGAAACGTTATGGAATCCCGTCTGCCCTTGGCACACGACAAATTTCACCGTTTGTCACGATCATCACAGGAATAATTACGATGAACAAGGTAATATCAAGCAAGATAAGTTGAGGAGACCGACAGCCGTTTTTCCAGGGCAGACTCACGTGGACACAAAGGACTGCAACCCAGCCATGGTTCCAACATTGTATATAGCAAAGAGACGTAATATACTCGAGTACGAGAAAAACTCCCAAACGCGACCCAGTGTGTGTCGTATCGTCATACTCCTTATCACACGGCCAACCCTCGGGAGTGGTCTGGACCACCAGATAAGGTAGGGCATCAAGGCAACTGTATTAGCCCGGCGGCAATGGCCGCAGGCACGTAACGGTTTGATACAACAAACTGACAGAAGGTCATGAGGACTCAGCCGTCGGAAAAAACAGACAGAAGCAATTGGCATATTGACCTAAGGCAATAACTACCCCTGTAGACTAGACCCGGGCCTGTGCGCCCAGCTGTGGCTATAAGAAAGAGGCCTGGATCCAAGTCAGATTGAAGGGATCAAGGACCTTGAGGCCACAGAAGATTATTACTGAATTTGAACCCCTTCCAAGCCCTGTATTACAGCCCTTGTCACAGTCCTCTCCATCTCCTAGTCTGTTAATCCAAACTCCCCATTTTCGCTTCCACCCCCACGTCCCCTCCTAGTCTACCGTGACTTTACTCCAACCCTCTAAACCTACGATTAAACTCCTCCACCGCCACCGCGACCATCTTATAAATAAACGTCCGCCCACTCTCCTGCCCAATGGGAATGAACGGCCCGTTCG